ATTGTAGTTGGTGGAGGGTTTTGTGGATATGTGGATTGTGGTGAGATGAAATGGACAGCTATGATGTACATATACATACGCGTATGTACATACATACCTATTGCATTGCAAGCTCCATACATATTCCAGCAGCTGATTAGAAAGAAAAGCTCACTTCATAAAATCAAACCGGTCGGATATGTAGACATTCTACTAAATTAATTAATTTTACGTGTAGTTGTAGTTATTTAAATACTTATTTAGACAGCCTTTTTTATAACAATTAATTGTCAATAATTAAACATAAGTTTAAATATAATATCAAAAATTGTATCATGATCGGTATCGATTTTGGAAATCAATCCTGTTTCGTAGCCGTCGTAAAGGATGGTGGTGTCGAAACAGTGGATAATGACTACAGTTTGAGAGCAACGTCGTAAGTTTTTGGACAATTTTTAAATACAAGAAAATAATTGGCGGAAATATTACCGTTTTTTTGCGATTCCTGATTTTAAAAACTAAAACTTTGATTTAATGTTGAATTGAAAAATATTAGTTGTAAAATTATCATGATTTGACCGGTATTTTCATTTTTTGGGGTGGAGGGGGGCGACTAAATATCATACGGATAACCACACCCCCGACTCCCGTTGAAAAATACCGACATCTAAAATAATTAATGTTTTTATTCTCAGATCTGTCGTCGCCTTCTCCGCCAGGAATCGCATTCTCGGTGTCGCCGCCGCAAATCAACGCATGTCGAATTTGACCAACACAATTTCCTCCTTCAAACCTCTCCTCGGTTGGCGATGGGACGATTTCTTTGTGCAAGACGAACTTAACAAACTACCTTATAAAGTGATCCCCCATCATAGTGGGGGTGTCGCGGTGGAGGTCAATTACTGCGGGAAGGACAAGTCCTACTCGGTAGAACATGTGACCGCAATGTTACTCACGGGATTGAAAGAAACGACGGAGGTGGTGTTAAAGGGCGAGATTAAAAATTGTGTGATTGCGGTATCAGATTCGGGAATTAAATTAGTTCTTAAAAAAAAATATGAAATTATAGGTTGGGAAGTTTTTAAAACCAAATTTAAAATCATACTTTTTAAGGAATTTAATATTTAACTGAAGTTTTTATTAAATTGTGAGATAATTTTTCTAATTTTCGAACTAAACTATTCATTTTTAGGTAAAATTGCACTATCGTGGTATGACTCGGATTTGGCTGAAATTTTTTCTGTGAATAGCTTATGGACCCCTGATCACAAAAAACAAAAAAAATTTTTGCGCAAACCAAAACTGAATTTTTTAAAAATGTTTGAAATTTATTTCAAACCCCTATTTTTTACTGCATTTTTGGACGTTTCAGAGAATTCTAAGATTTTGTCTCATTTTCCCCCATGGCGGGAAAATTTGGGGCAAAATGAGATTTTTGGGGTAACATGAGATTCCTACTTTTTCTCGTAGAATATCGAATTTTGATCGGTTTTGGGCATGGCGGGATGGTGTATGATGGAATTGGGACGTTTTTAGGGCAAAATGAAATACCTGGTATGGTAAGATTGCTAAATTTTATTGCAAAATATTGACTTATTTTTAAGGTTTAGGGTTGATTACAATGCAGTTGCACTTTGGGGTACTGTTCCTATTTTTAGGTTAGGTTTTAGGAAATAAATTAGGAAAGCGGGGCCGCGAGCGAAGCGAGCTAGAAAACTAGGGAAGCGGGGCCGCGAGCGAAGCGAGCTAGAAAACTAGGGAAGCCGGGCCGCGAGCGAAGCGAGCTAGAAAACTAGGGAAGCTGGGCCGCGAGCGAAGCGAGCTAGAAATCTAGGGAAGCGGGGCCGCGAGCGAAGCGAGCCAGAAAACTAGGGAAGCGGGGCCGCGAGCGAAGTGAGCTAGAAAGCATGACTGAAAAACTGACTGAAATTTTTCTTGGTGATCCAAGGCTAGATATCAACCAGGAAAACCATCAAAATTCGATATTCTACGAGAAAAAATAGGAATCTCATGTTACCCCAAAAATCTCATTTTGCCCCAAATTTTCCCGCCATGGGGGAAAATGAGACAAAATCTTAGAATTCTCTGAAACGTCCAAAAATGCAATAAAAAATGGGGGTTTGAAAAAAATTTCAAACATTTTTAAAAAATTCAGTTTTGGTTTGCGCAAAAATTTTTTTTGTTTTTTGTGATCGGGGCATGAAGAGGTATTTACAAAAAAAATTTCATCGAAATCCGAGCTATACCACGATAGTGTAATTTTTCCCATTTTTATTATGTATTTTCTGCATTATCTGGTTTTGGAGAATTTTATATAAAAAAAATTTACTGACAATTCATTACTTTTAATTTTGTAGGTCCCTTCATACTTCACAGACCCACAGCGCCGAGCGCTCCAAGCCGCAACAAAGATTGCGGGGATGAATGTTCTGCAAATCTTAAGTGAACCGGCAGCAGTATCTTTGGCGTACGGGTATTATCGAGAAGATCTCCCGGATGAGGATGAAGCCCCTAGAAATGTGGTCTTTGTTGATTGTGGTCACTCAAGCTTGCAAGTTTGGGTGTGTGCCTTTAGCGAAGGAAATTTGAAGGTGGGTCATTATATCGACATATTTTTTGTAATTTTGCAACACTCCATGAAAAAAATTGCAAATTATGTGCAAACAAGAATTGCAGTATTATATGCGATGTATTTCTTGGGCGATCAGTTTTCTTCTGTATACCGTGATTCATAATTTAATATTTTTTTACCCAGATCCTCACTTCCTGTTCGGCTCCGTCCCTTGGAGGAAGAGATTTTGACTCATTACTAGGTCTACATTTTTGTACAGAGTTTCAGAAAAAGTACAACATCCGACCGGAATCCAACCCTCGTGCATATCTCCGACTTTTGACCGAGGTGGAGAAAGTGAAGAAAAGCATGTCCTCTAATTCCAGCGTTCTTCCTCTCAATATTGAATCCTTCCTGGACGACATGGATGTTTCTGGGAATATTTGTCGTGCTGAATCTGAAACTATTTCACAATCTTTGCTCAACGGGGTGGAAACTACGTTAAAAAATTGTTTAAAGGATTCAAGTAAGTATTTAACAATTTAATTACTTAATTTCCTGTGAATTTAAGAATTATAAAATTTGAAGATTATTTTATCTAAAATGTGTAGAACTGCAGCCAAAACACATTGATTCCGTGGAAATAGTCGGTGGATCAACTAGAATCCCCGCAATTAAGGAATTGATCTCTAAAATATTTAAGAAATCGGTGTCAACAACGCTAAATCAGGACGAATCTGTGGCGAGAGGGTGTGCCTTGCAGTGCGCAATATTATCCAAGTCGAGAGGAATTAAATCGTTTAAAGTTCAGGATATTCAATACCATTCTATTCGGATTGTTTGGGATGAAAGTTTGCAGGAAGACGGGTAAGGAGGCCCGAAATTCCAGAATAAATTTTTTGACAAAAAGTGGGTTAAAATCGGATATTATTGTGGATGATAATTTATTGTCAAACCCGGTAGAGTCATTTTTACAATTATCTTGACACTTGATCTAATTATAAATTACATTCTTTGAAAAATTAAGGACAAACTAAATTTTGTTTTGTTTTAAAGAAGTATCCGTCTTTAGTTACCTTTCCAACGGATAACTTTTTGACAACATCTTTTCCCCATTTTATTTTCAGGTGGAAAGAAGTCCTTCCACTTCACGGCCCAATCCCATATTCTGACTCAGTAACTTTCCACAAGCAAGGGAACACTTTCAAATTTAAAGTGAAATGTCCATTAGCCGAAATTGGTAAATTTTATCATCATACAATTTTATAAATGTCCATATTTTATTTATTACTTTTCTTCGTTTTAATTTAAATAGGTGATTATTCCATCGATAATTTTAGCTACGAACTCGGCGACACGACCGAACTACGACTCGACGTAGGGATGAATGCAGACGGAATATTTAATCTCAATGAAGCCACTGCATTTCACAATAATCCCAAATAACCAGGGCCGTTCATGGGACATTCCTGGAAGGTTCGCTATGTCCTCCGAACGTATAGTCTAATTAGAGGGTCTATATACGTCCTTATAATGTTCCGCACATACTTTACACTTTAACGTCCCAGTAGAACGTCCTTAGTCGGATTAAAAGTCCGTCATTTAAGGGTATTTTTAATCCATGCTCAGAACGTACCAATTACGGATTAAAAATTACACGTGATCATTTGTTTTACTTGTCATGCGGGAAAAATATTTTCAGTGTAATTTTTATAGAGTTCAAGATGATTCGGAAAAAAAACATTACAAAAGAAAATTCAGCGAGATACGAATAAGAGTTAAATTTTCGTTAAGTTTAGTTCAGTCTGGCAGGAGTGTTATCCAAAAATCTAATAATAATCAACGAACTGAAATAATTACTACTCCTCCTACTCCTGAAGGGTCTTCCGTGACTTTGCCAGTTTTAGTTAACTCGTTTCACAGCTCAGGAGGGGAGCTTCACCACCTGCCAATCACCGATCCCGTTGCCCTTTGGATATGTTGTAGTACCCCATGAGTGTATTAAAACCCCCAAGTGGTTTTATTCCATGGCCCCATTTGCGCCGGCCACACCCACTGGAATAGGCCAAAAACACGTAAAATGCCCTGTTTTTGGTCGTTTAAACCTTCGCCAAAAATCCAATTTTGAACTGATTTGGAAAATTTTTGCAGTTTCTTGATCCCAGATAGTTGCTTTATAAAATCCAATATCAAACTCAACTTTTTTGAAATTTTCATTTTTTCGAACTCATACCCCTGCTCAGGAAAATTTCAAAAATATGCAAAATTTTTAAAAACTTGAGTTTGATATTGGATATGGTAGAACAACTATCTGGGATCAAGAAAATGCAAAAATTACCAAAATCGGACCAAAATTGAATTTTTGGCAGGTATTTGAATATCGCGATTTTAGTATTTTTCACCCCTTTGAGTGGGTGTGGCGGGCGCAAATGGGGCTATGGAATAAAACCACTTGGGCGTTTTAATACATTCATGGGGTACTACAACATATCCAACGGGATCGGTGATTGGCAGGTGGTGAAGCTCCCCTCCTCAGTAAATACATTCTCTGGACCCGAACACCACGACGTTGACGATAGTGTAAGTGGTTTTGAAGAAAATTTCAAAAAGTGGTGTATCGTGAACAAAATTTCACTTTCAGCAGTATCTGAACTGTTAAAAATATTAAAAGTTCATACATGTTTTTCATCGCTACCAAACGACGCCAGAACATTACTTAAAACTCCTCGAAAGGCCAAAATTTTCAATGTGGATCCTGGACAATATTGCCATTTCGGAATAAAAGACCAGCTTTCTCAACTAATTGAATCTCATCGAGTCTCAATTGGTAACAAAATAACATTGCAGTTTAATATTGACGGAATTCCGATTTCAAAAAGTAGTGGAAAACAGTTTTGGCCAATATTAAGCTATGCAGTAGAACTAGACAAGATTTTCGAAGTTGGAATTTATTGTGGTAATGAAAAGCCGAAAGACTCGTTAGATTTTCTTAATTACTTTGTCCAAGAATTGAGTGAATTGTGTGATAACGGTTTGCAAATTAAGAATAATAATTTTGACATTGTTATTGACAGTTTTATTTGTGATGCACCAGCAAGAGCGTTTATTTTAAATATTAAAGGTCATACTGGCTATTTTGGCTGCAGCAAATGCACACAGGAAGGTAAATATATAAAAAATAGAGTGACGTTTCCTAAAATTGACTGTCCAAAAAGAACAAATGACGGCTTCCGTTTGAAAGTCGACGAAGATCATCATCATGGATTAAGCGGACTTGAAAAATTAAATATAGATCTTGTGAAACAGGTTCCCTACGAGTTTATGCATTTATTTTGCCTGGGAGTTACTCGGAAGTTTTTACTTTTGTGGACTTCGGGAAGTGTTAAAAAATTTCGTCTTTCTTGTTATGAAAAGTTACAATTCACAAGAGCCCTAATAACTTTAAAGCCATTTATACCGTTAGAATTTGCAAGAAAACCTAGACCTGTGGCTGAATTTAAGCGGTGGAAGGCTGCTGAATTGCGTCAGTTCCTGCTGTATACAGGGCCATTAGTTCTTAAAAAACTACTCCCTCTAAGATATTATAATCATTTTATTTGTCTACATTTAGCAATCACTATTCTGTGCAGTGAAAAATTTCATAAAAAGTATAATACCTACGCTTCATTACTTTTACAATCGTTTGTCAAAGAATTTCTAAAACTTTACGGAGATGAACAAGTGTCTCACAACATTCATGGCCTAATACATTTGGCTGAAGATTCTACTCACTTCGGTACACTTGATAAATTTAGTGCATTTAAGTTTGAAAACCACTTGGGTTTTTTATCGTCATTGCTAAGAGGAAAAAACCGACCTTTAGAGCAAGTCTATAACAGAATTAGTGAAAGAAATGCAGGATTAATAAAAGATTTAAAAAGTGAATTTGTTAAACCCATGCTGAGTAAATCCAAAAAAACAATTCAGTTTCAGCATTTCAAGTTAAGCTGTAATGAAGGAAATAGTACATGTGAGCTTCAAATGGGAGCAATAATTAAAATTCAAGGATTTACGGAAATTAATGGCAGCATAATTTGCAAAGGCAGAGTGTATCAAACAACAAAAGTCCCACTCTATGACATTCCAGAAGATTCGAGTCGAGTGGGAATACGAGTTGCATCCCTTTCTCAGGAGCACATTTCTGTGCCTGTTGAATTAATTTCTTCCAAACACCTGGCTCTCCCATATAAAAAATCTGAAGTTATTTTTCCCTTACTTCATCTATAAATGGAGAGGGTATATCAGAAGGACCTAAAAGGTCATCCTTTTGTTGTTGTCGAATTTCGTCACAATAATTCGTTGGGAATAGTGCGAAATGACTGGACATGTATAAAAAACAAAGAAATCTTCGCTTATTGGCCACCGTATTGGAGCGACGGAAAAAAACTAGAAAAAGCTATTTGCAAAAAAGAAACAGCGAATCCAAAATCCTGGACACTTTATGCGGTTACTGTAATTGGAGATTATAGTAAGTACTATACTCTTTATCGATTTATTTATTTTATCTCTTTTTCAAGTTAATATATTTATATTTCTCTTAACTTTCAGAGACTTATGAAGAGGCTCGGAAAAAAATGGTACGAGTTGAAAAAAGTGAAGAGTCCAGCAGTGCGCCAGAAGGCAATGATGATCATTTTTTGAGAAGAAGGTGTCGCAAGAGGTCGAGACTCTCCGAATGCGAGGTACGCCAATCGACTGAGGGAAAGAATTCAAGAATTCGGAAGGACACTGAAGATTCCGAGGAGGACGTCTCTCAAATTGTGCTGCCAACAACTTATCCTAGATTGGATGAGGTATAATTTTTAAATTAAAATATATTTCTTAATTTGAATATTTTCTAGCTTTCAAATTGTAAAAAAAATTTAATTTATTTAAGAATTCTACTATGGGAGACGTAATGGGGAACAATGTGACAAACACTCGACATTTTGGTAATAATTTATATTTAAAGGAAAATCTAATCATAAATACATATTCTTCGATTTATTTATATAGTCCTTGTCAGTCCCAACTTGGAAGAGGCCCCTGAAAGTCTCGCATTCTCAAGACTAGAGGAAAATGTCGCGTCGGCGCACAGTTCAGGGTCGCAAATCTATGTTCGCACCCCAAACCGATTTACGTTACCTTCAGCTGAGAATATAATGGAAAACGTATTACCCACTGGGTCTGCTCAACATATTCCAAGCGCAGGTAATTTAATTAATATAATTACACCAACTTTTAGATATTTTTGTGCTGTGTTTATTTTCATATATTTGTGGCAGGATTTAACAATCAAATCATCCGGAAATTGCATTTTTTGACCGCGACGGTGAATCAAATCGCTGAATCTGTTCACCTGCTGATCAATAGAGGTTTGACCCAGAATGCAGTTGTGAATTTTGAGAAGTTGTTCATCTTACCGATCGAGACTGCTGATGGAATTCAATCGTTGGAGAAGGAATTGAAAAGTGCGGAAAAAACTCGTAAAGAAAACTCTAGAATCATCAAAGTAAATGAAAAGAAGGATGCGTTAGTAAGTGGGTTTGCAGTTTATTTGCTAATTTTTATTGCTGGCTATGCGAATCTAATAATATCTCGATTATTTTAGGTCCAGCAGGTCACTTTAGGGGGAGGAACTAAACCATCAGATGCAACTTATCGCGCCTTAGCTGAATTAATGACAGATGACGTCGCTGCCAAATTTAGCTATGAAGGAAGGAAGGGGAAGGTGGCATTCCGTGATTATCCTATAATTAATTCAGCTCTTTTTCGTAATACATTTTTTAAGAATTATTTTTTGGATATTAATTATTTTTAATATTACTATGGACATTACGGCCATCATTCATGCATTGAAACTTTTACCTTTGTGTTTAGTCGCAATAAGGAGAAATTGTGCAGATGCAAGAGGATCGACGATCGAAGAAGGAATCAAGTATTGGCTGAAGAAAGGACCAGAAAGACTAAAGAGAAATCAAGTAAGATGTGATTTGTCTCATCAATAAAAATTGATCGAAAACAATCCAATTTTTTTAACCATTAGAATTTCTGTTCCGCATTTCAGAAGAAGCTACCCCATCCTGAAGAAAGCGACGAATCGGAGGATGCTGCTGATCTCATCGATCCATAAATTATATTTATGAATATTACATATATAATTGAGATAAATTGATAATAAATCTGAATGCAAATTATATGTATATGTGTGTAATTATTGACCCCTGAAGGTCCTTAGAATGTCCCCAACATCCGTACAAGCAATGTTCTAGGTACGTATAAAGAATTAAAATTTACGTCCTCAAGTACGTCGTAGGTCCCTAGCAGGCACGTTCAAATGGCGACAAATGCACTATACTGGTACGTACCAGAAAGGTGCTTGGTATCTAAAACGTAACGTACCACCGTCCCACGGGGACATTCCAGGAACGTACTGGGGACTGCTTTTGGTTATTTGGGATGTGAGTAGGATTAAGGATGGATAAAAATAATTTATCACTACATGATAGAAATATGGATAAACTTCCTTATTTTTTAACTCCTTTATAGGGTGACGAGGAATATGCTAAGAAAAGAATCAGAATCAAAAAGGGTTTCAAACTAGATCGTCTTCCCATCACTGTGAAAAAGCCAGGGTTGACGGATCAGGATGTCCAGGAGATGACAAAGATTGAGGTATATCTTCTATTTCTTACGAATTTACTAATAAAATAATTCATTTTAATTATTCCTCCTGTATAACGACATGATAGGAGTCGATCGTAAAGAGAGGAGTAGACTCGACATCAAAAATGAGCTAGAGGAATATCTCTACAAATTGCAGGACCGAACAAGGGACAATTCTCGAGTTGATATTCCTGACTTAGAAACATTACAAAATTGGCTATATGAGGATGGCTGCGACGAGCAGGAGGAAGCTTATCATTTCCGGCTGAAAGTATTAAAGGTTAAAAATTTTAAAATCTAAAAATTGCGGAAAAATCGTGTTTTTAAGGAAGAAAAAAAAATAGTTTGTTTTGCGTCAAGATCAACGATATTTTAGGAAAATTATCAAACATTTATCTTATTTGAAACTAAAGCGGTCGCAAGCTGAGCCAGGTATTAGACACTTATGGCTGCCATGACATATAACTTATCACGTATAACTTATGACATATGACGAAATTTAAAATTATAAATATATATATAAAGTAAAATAAAATATATATATATTCAATTAACATTTAATATAAAATTTAAAATACGCATTAAATATATATATATTTATAATTTTAAATTTCGTCATATGTCATAAGTTATACGTGATAAGTTATATGTCATGGCAGCCATAAGTGTCTATTCACGATAACATCTTATTTAACATCGCAACTAATTTAGTAACCTGATACGATATAAAAATATGCACATTTTCTGGATAAAATTGCAGAAAAAGTTAATGAAATTTAGCACATCGCGTAAAACTTGACAAGTTATGCTATAGCGTGTTAAGTATATAAATCAACTTTGGATTTGATTTTTATTTAAATGAGTTCTAATTCAAATTGACCAAATTTAAGTAATAACAATAACTTATACATTATGAAACATAAATTAAATAAGCTGAGCCCCATCCACACTTTTGTAACCGATTGATAGCAAGCACTATCCATCACAGCTTTTCCCGACTTTGCCTCAACACTCTTTATGATATTGCCCATTACCATTCGAAATCCAACGGGGTCATTATGTGTATTTGTTGGTTTAGAGTATTCTTGTTTACGTAAGGTCCAAAACATTTCAATACCTTTTGCTTGTGGAACATTGGGGGCATTTTCATTTTTGGACACAAAACCAACTTTGTCCATCTAGAGGAAGCTTGTAACTATTCCTTCATATTTACAAGTTGTCATGTCTGACCAAAAAAAAAATGTTTTTCCTGTTGTCGAGGTTGATGAAAGGAATCAAACGGTCTTTAGTGCATTTCTGTAAATGTATGTTGAAGGTAATGGTTTTGTCCGGAATGAAGGGCTTCGAAATTTCGCCATTTTGGCCAATTTCGCCAATCAAACCATCATTTTTTTTGCAAAATTTCGCTTTCGGAATTACTTTTTTTTCGTTATTTACTTCCCCTTCTTAAGTTGCTGCATGGAAACATTGTAGATAGGATAAATCGGAAGGGTCCAGTGGGAAGTGAGACTACTCATCATCAATTACAAGAATCCTTTGTCAGGTTTTTGTAAATTTTCCGAACACCAGTTTTATCTCGAGATTTCTGGTCCTTGATGAACTTTGGGGCCTTTTTTTTTAAAGGCTATCATGCCCAATTCTTTGGCTTTCGCTTGTACAGAAGCTGGACTCCGTTCACCAGTTTTGGGGGTGGATTGAGACACTGGCTGATCGGGATTTTTTTTGAAATTTGAATTTTTCGAAACACCAAACCTTTGTAACATTTAACTGTAGAGGATTTCGATCGTCCTTCATTGACAAAATTTTGGTACGTCTTTTTCAAGCTTTTCGTTGTAGTGAAAAAATCGAGTTGGAAAGGCTTGATGGTCTTGGCCTTTCATTTTCAGTCAGATGACCTAACAATGTATTCTTGACTGATTATTACAACTATATTAGTAGGTGATTATAATGGGACATAAAGAAATTATTTATCAACTCGTTTCCCTACCCAAAAAAATTCCAAAGTTGTTTTATATACTAAGCAGTTCTTAACTTTGCGAGATTTGGTAAAGTTGGCTAATTCGTATAATTTACATATTTCTTATTTTTCAGGATTTATCTAACCTCATACTCCAACCCGACCCGTGCCAATCAGCCCTAATCCAATTCGACCTTTCAATTCAAGAAGCCAGAAAAATCGTCGAAATTCGTCTTGACAGAAATGACTCCCGTTACGAAAACTTGCACTCTGACGACGTGCACAAATTAATGGACATAATTACAAGTTCACAGCGGTGGTTGAGCGATGCAAAATCCAGCATCACTTTCCGACCGACACTGTATGGCATTGTGTGGCAGAAGGTCACCTTTAACGGAGAGGTAAAGTCGTTGCTCGAGGTATCGAAGATATCTGAAACCGGAAGGCAAATGGGAGATGGGGAGGAAGCACCGTGCCAAAACAAGGGAGTAGACGATATGGAGGTTGATGATTGAATGGATATTTATATTTTAAAAAATTGACAACTTTGTTCAATATTTTCCGAAATATTTAAAATTCTCTTGGAAATTTGTATCTTTGAAAAACTGCCTGCATATCCATTGTATGGATAGAAAAATAGGAAAATTTGTTTGAAATAATTACTGAATGTGTAACTATAAATATTAGCTAGTAATAGTAGCTGTTAGTATTTTCATGTCGTTTTTTTGCATATTTAAATAATTTATCACGCATTTATAATATAAATCGGATTTTGCATATAAATTTTATATGCAAAATCCCAATTTTTTTGGATCATAAAGTGTGTGTATGTACATACGGTGTTAAATTAAAAGTGTGCAATCTTGTTATTAGGTGGGGGTTGATAACATTATTAAATAATTTAATGTAGAAGTAATCTTATCTGATTATACATTCGTCATCCGTGTAGAAACTTTGTAAAAACTGAAAGAATTTTCGTGTAAAATTCACTTTTCGTCAAGTTGTGACGATATTTGTGACGAGCGGTTGACCATCGAGTGCAATGGGGAGAGATCGACGCCCCTCATCCTCTCCGTTTGTTTACACTGCCGTGCTGACGAAAAAATCCATCTTTTAAATCCCACCAATATTTTTGTCTACTTTTTCAAAAACTGATTTTTTTACCAGATTTTTTCAAAATTTCAAAATTTTCTTATAATTTCAAAAATTTTCAGAAATTTTGAAAATTTCGTAATTTTCAAAATTTTTGAAAAATTCCGTAAAAAAATCTGAATTTTTTAAAATTTTATTCAAATTTTGAAATTTTGTTAAAATTTTGAAATTTTGAAGAAATTTTGAAGAAATTTTGAAATTTTGAAGAAATTTTGAAATTTTGAAGAAATTTTGAAATTTTGAAGAAATTTTGAAATTTTGAAGAAATTTTGAAGGAACCCTGGACTCGACCGGCACCTCGGTAGGGTCCCTATGTAGACCATGCAAAATTCGCAGTGCCAGCAGTGGCGGGGCCAGTAGTGGGCACAAGTGGGCCCGTGCCCACGTGTAAATTTGGGGCTTTACAATAGGTCTTATGGCTTTACACTAGATATTTTGACGTAATTTTCAAAATTTAGTTTATTGGTGCCCACCTGCGAAAAAATTCTGGCCCCGCCACTGAGTGCCAGTGTTTTCCAGATTTTTTTTTTTCAAAAATTTCTGACAGATCCTTTTTAATAGTGTGCATTTTTTGGGCAACATAGTAGCAGATGTTTCGTTGTACATATTTTGAACCCGAATTTAATTTAATTTGAGGTATGCAGAATAAAGAAATATTAACTTTTAGGAAAATCACAGTAGGTTTTGTAAACTGATATTTTTCTAGAAACATTTCCCTCGTTTTTATCCCTTCTGTGAGTTGCAACTCGGCAGCCCATAGAGATAGACAGTCTATCTCTTTTTATTTTCTATAGACAATTATTCCACCTGTCTATCTTCTATTTAAGGTCCTCATATAGTTTATTTTCAGTTATGGCTTTTACTTTTTTTGGAAAAGGTTATGCAAAAACTTTTTCGAAAAATTTCTCCTGGACATATGTATTGTAAAAACATAATAATGGATAATATGAATTAGGAATAAAATTAATTTAATGTAACATATTATGTTAAGTTAATCCTAAATGTATTTAAATGTTTTTTTAGTAGAGTATAGAAAAATATTTGCAGAGATTCATTATTACTCCACGTCAGTATTTTTTAAATTAAGCTACCAGCGCCATGATCTGCCCGGGAACACTTATTTTATTTTGAGCTGATTTTTAATTAGATACAGTTTACTATATTCATAAAACCCATGCATAAAGGACCCTGATTAAGAACAAGTACATATGTACGTAAATATGTAGGTACATATGTATGTATGTACTTGACGAATGGAATACTTATGTATGTGTGAGCGTATCCATGACTCGAAATGCAGTCATAAAGCACAACTGGAGGGAACGACTGAGGAGTTCAAAAACTACACTACTTATTGTGGTCCGGATTTTTCCAAATTTTTATACATTAGACAAAAAATTGTTGTTTTGTTTGTTGTTGTATTTACTCTTTATATTACTTAATACTTAAATGTAATAAACCAGACGATGGCTCAAATACCAAAAAGAGGTGGTAAAAAAATTGACGATTATTTTACAAAAAAATCCAGAGATGAAATTGAAGTACAGGAGCGTAAGACTGGTGAGTTTAATAATACATATAATATGCATACAAATATACAAGATTTACAAAATAAACGTCCGACATTTTCCGATATTCTAACGGAAGTATAGCACATACAGAAGTTACATCATAGAACTAAATATGCCAAATCGAGTAGATTTGATCGAAATAATATTTATTTCCAAAAACCAACTATAAATTAGATTTGTGGTACTATGATGGATGACATTAATTTTCTGCCTTAATAGCAAACTATTTGTGGACATTACAAATTGCTCAATGAATAATTATTTAATTTCGCAGCTATGGAACCCAAGCCTGGATGCAGCTCGACAACTTCAAGGTCCGGTGACGACGTCAACAGATGTCAAATTCCAAAACCTTACCAGGAAAATGATCGATGGTTCAATTTTCAATGGCTGCTCGACCATCCATGGATAATTGTTAATGCCACTAATGATGGGGTCACTTGTTCAACGTGTGTAAAATCGGTCGAGTTGAAACTAATTCCAATTCCATCTGGAGTCAACCCATTCATTGCAGACGGGTTTGGAAACTGGAAGAAAGGCAAGGAGCGTCTCAGTCGACATGAAAATAGTGAACAACATCAAACAGCGTCAATGAAACTGGCTAGTCTACTAGAAAAACCCAAACAAATCTCGACAATGTTATCTTCACAACTCAAGGTGGACCAGGAAATGGCTCGGAAGTGTTTACGTGTTATGCTGACCTCGATAGCCTATCTTGGAAAACAAGGAATTTCAATTCGTGGACACAATGATGAAGACGGAAATTATATGGAATTGCTTCAGTTGAGAAGAAATGATGTCCCAGAATTAAATTCATGGTTGCGCCGTACGAAACCTCTCACCTCGCATGATATTCAAAATGAGATGGCTGACCTTATCTCCAAACACGTGCTAAGGGGAATTGTTGAAAAAATTCAGTCGCACAAAGAATTTAGCCTTATTGTGGAGGAGACGACGGATTTTTCCGGCAAGGAACAAGTAAGCATCTGCATCCGAGTATTGATGACGACCTAGTCCCAGCGGAATATTTCCTTGGTCTCTACCAGACCTCTTCGACGACGGGGGAGTCAATCTGTGCGTTACTTCAGGACGCTCTTACTCGGGATGGCTTAGACACTTCAAATTTGAGGGGCCAGTGCTACGACGGAGCAAGCAACATGTCCGGAAAATTTATTGGCGTACAACGATTGATGAAAGAAGTGGAGGGGCGCGCCCTGTATGTTCATTGCCTTAATCATTGTCTCAATCTTTCACTCCAAGACGTTACAAAATCGGTGCCATTAATAAGAGATGTCCTGCAATGGATTAATGACGTCGGGGTTTTGTTAAACCGTTCAGCAAAAAGGTAAAGAAAAGATTTATGTCAAGCTCAAAATAATTTTGAAAGAATATTCATATCAGTTTGATAATTTTTAAGATTGGAATGATTTTGCTATTTTTTATAATTTAGTAAATTCTTGGAATCAAGGTTTATAGATTATTTACGAGAATATTCTTAATTTCTAATTTTCAGACTGGACCTTTTCGCACAGATCGCGATAGACCAGAATGTCGACGTGAATGCTGTGCGACCCTTTTGCCCTACCAGGTGGACCGTTCGAGTGAGGAGCATCGCAGCAATTCTAAAAAGCTATTCAGTGTTGCTAGAATTCCTGGAAGAACTGGGGAACCAAAACGATGCTAACGCTCCTGTTGCAAGAGGGCTGCTATCGCAATTCGAGAAAGGGTCCGTGTATTTTGGAATTCTGCTATGCCGCTCTATTTTTGAGCCTACCGAGGAACTTGCCCGTGCACTACAAGGTCCGCAAATTAGTCTTGCTGGTTCCATCGAAGCGGCACTAAACGTTGTACACTTTTTGGACAACAGAAAATCTCAAGAACACTTTGAGCTCATGTGGGATAATTTGTACACCAAATTAGAACAATTCAATTTGATCGAACCCACACTGCCAAAGGCCAGGAAAGTAACAAGTCGTTACGCCGAGTCGATAGAGTCAATTAAAATATTTGAATCGGCTAAAGATTTGCACCGATATGTTTATAATCAAGCCCACCAGATGATAATTGAAGAAATCAATCGGCGGTTTAATCAACCAGATATTCAGGAGTACGAAAAATTGGAACGCCTAATTTTGCAACCACTACTTGACGAAGACTCATTGGTTTCATTCTGCCAGATTTATGAGTTTGACTTTCAAAAACTGAAGTGCCAATTGTGCATGATTCATCAAACGTTCCCTCACCAGTCCACCACAATGGAACTCGTGGAAAATTTCAGAAGTTTGTTACCAGAAACAAAGAGCATGTTCAGTGAAGTGTCAAAATTATTCAAGTTACTTTTAGTAGTTCCAGCCTCAGCAGAGCGAAGTTTCTCTTTACTTCGAAGAATAAAAACTTATCTCCGGTCGACCATGACTGAATAATTTGTGTATTCTATCGGCGTATCCTGATGTCGTCAACCGTGTTGATTTTGACATGCTCATGGGAGAATTTGTGAATAATTCGCATAGAAAAAACGTGTTTGGACTGAGTGCACACTAGTTTTAAAGCTTGAGATTTTCGCTAATTCAAAACGCTAAAATTGGGCACACTTGATTTTTGTTTTAATGATGTGAAACAAATAAAATTTTACTGTTGCTTGTTTTGTTAAATCAAATTCATAAATTTTTTGTAAAGTTTAAAATACCACATTCACTTAGCGAGGAAGTCTCAATAATGGTGCGTGTGGTTGACACGCTCTCGTCATATATTTCGACAACTTTTTGAAATTTTGAAATTTGTTCGGTGAAGGTCAACATTCCGAAACATTTACATAATTTCTCCCATGCGATTGAAGCAGTGACGCATGTAGCTGCAGGTGCGTTTGAACTTGGATGTTCCTGAGTTGATGTTGAGAAGTTGATAAATAAATTGGATGAAATAGCTCTCACCATCCGGATAAAGGTATATTGCTACTCCTTGTTCTACTTCCCTCGTAATATTTACATATTATGTACATATTTACCTACGTGCATCAGTAATTTGCATTGATACATACATACATACATATGTTGTAGTTTTAAGGGGAAAATTTCGCGAGCGCCGAAGGCGCGAGCGGCTTGGAAAACTTTCGAGGTTGTCCCCCCGACAAAAATCATCATCCGCCGCGCCTGGATAGACTATTGACCTTTTCATTTTCGGAATCGTCGTACTTTTTTCAGTAAACGTGCATATTTAAGTTGGTTATACCGTGTTTTTCAAAAGAACGCCAATCCATTGTAAAATTTCTCTTAAGCACATTTTTGTGAAATTCAATTACACTTAATGGCCTCAATTTTATCTAGTGGCTCGCAACTAAGCGCGATTATCTCTCCAGTCAAGGTCTTGACGAAAATAGTAATCGTATCACTTTTAGACGTTTCTTTCTTCACGAGTCCCGATATCAGCTGTTTTTCATGTAATGAAGTCGGATTCAATGACTGAAAACATCCATTTTGAATTCTAGGATCTGTTCCGAGCTCTTTCATTTCATTGAATTTTTCATAAGTTATGATTTCTGTGCGGGTAATTGCAGACAGTGCAGCGGCAATGAGGTCGTTATTCAGGTTTGAAAACAGCTGACTAACAATGGATTTATTTTATTCCACCCAACGAAAATGTATTTTTCCCCAACCAAAAGTAATAATTTCCCCAATCGTGAAATGTCCAAAGGGTTTAATATTTTTACCCAACGAAAATGTAAAATCACCCAACCAAATAATAACTTTATTTACCTATCTTCCTAATGTAAGTAATGGACAAATCAGCGGCATGCATCAACTCAACCTTCTGAATCACCTCCCGTCCGGCCATTCATTCATACCATCCGGTTACTACTCTAAAATTTAGAAAATAAAGATAATATGTCGGATTTTCAAAAACTAAATAATTATGAGTCCGACTCTGAAGAGTTGCATAAACCACCCCCCTCAAAAAAACAGAAACTTGTCCACGAATACAAGAGGACTAGAACTTTTAAGTGCATTGAAGAGGCCAAGGTGCATGTGAAAACCACACAAAAGTTTGTGATCGAATCTGAGAGAAGTAAGGCTTCCATGTTTATGTTTTAAAATAATTGCTTTGTATGTTGCTAACAAAATTGGGGATTACGTAGATAATACTTTGGATGTAGATATGTATGAGACGGTGGAGTTACATAATCACGAGGGCATCAAAACCGTTGATGCCCTCGAAACCGAATTCCCATGAGCACCAAATTAAAAATCGACCTTTTGTTCAACGGTGGCATCACAAACCTAATCAGATTGTCTCTCATCTGAGAGAGGAAGAAATTGACGTCCACTCAAAAGTCCAACTAAACAATTATCTCAGCGTTATTACCAACAATTGTCTAGAATCCATAAATTCCATAATCATAAAGGAAGGCACATATCGTGAAAGGGTACCATTACGGCAATTTTTGGATTTTTTTTTGAGTAAATCTACTTTCTGGATTATTAATTATCAAATTGCTGAATGGATTTCCTCCATTTGTTCTTGCCCAATATTTACAAAGGAATATATATGCAAACATATTGTTGGTATTGGCACTATCCGAAAGATAATTTTGGTTCCAGAGAACCTGAAGACCGATTGTATTGGACTGAAACCCAAGCGTGGTCGAAAAAAGTTTGTTGGGAAAGCTTTGATTGTTGACTAAATGCAAATTCTTTCTTTAAAATTGTAAAATTTTAGTTAAATATGACAATTTTACTTGGAAAATTTCATTTATACTTGGTTGGAAATTTAATTATTTTGTTGGGCTTTTTTATGAAAATTGTGGTATAATAAATTAATTATTCGGGCTTTTTACGATTGGGCGAAATATTAATTTTGGTTGGGGAAATTTACATTTTCGTTGGGCCGTTTAATTGGCACCCACTAACAATTCATTTAACCGTGTAGAAATAATTTATCCGATAGTATGTATTTAGGAAAATCTTACGTTAATTCTTTCTTGCCTTATTGAAGACAAAATGATGTTAAAATACAGCTGTAATCTCGTCATGATTTGGGAGGACAACTTATTCCAGGAATGTTATAACAATTCACTCAAAAATCTAATTCTAAATACACGGCTACTTATAAATTGCTTGCCTGGTTAGGTTTACCTGATTTAAGTATATTTATGTTATATAGCCGTGTATAGTATTTTTATTATCAGTAAATTGATTACATTTGTTATGTATCTGAATTAAACTATTTTGTTATCAGTTACAAACTTAATCATGAACCATATGCATGGTCAGCATAAAATGAAAGTAAAACCTCTCACTAAATAAATACATACATATTATGTAGAAGATTATATTTATTACTATATTATTCTACATTGTACAGTAAGAAAGTTGTTATGGAGGAAAGTCGAATTACAAGAATACATTGAAATAATTCATATGATTTTGCTAAATTCTTGGTCCCTCTCCCCTGCCCACACATATCCCAGCTTCCAGTCATCCAGCGACACATTACCTTCTCCTAAGAACAAGCCATATCCAGTAAGGAACTCAAAACTAATGGTTAAATTACGAAATACGTACTTACACATTGAAAATACTTATTTATTAGATAAATTATAATTGTTGACAATTTCGAAGGTGTCGGATTGTAATGAAATCCAGGAGTTGTCAGAAAAGTGATTAATATTATAATTATCAAATTTTGATAAAACTACGAAAGTGTTGTATCCACTTGCTTAAACTTTTTTAATACAAATCCCATAAGGTCGAATGTCAGTTTCCTTTTCAGTAATCCAATATTCTCCAACTCCTGTGGTTTGGGCTGGAATGATGTTTACCGTAGCTGGATTAACCCGATTCTGAATGACTACTAAGTATTTGTCCCCCTCGTGTTCAAATTCACGCGCGTATAGTTCCGCTACCGAGATGTCGGGTGTGGTGTAAATTCCACGGCCAAATTTAAAACGTTGACCTTTACTCAGAAGGTATCCATCTTCAGCAATTGAGCGAGAATTATGCAGCCCGGTTCCATGATAAGAAACTAAACAATACAGATAAATGTGTTCCTATTATACGACTGGTGTATAATTGCATACTATTTCTTGGTTATGTACACGGCACAGAAATTTATAGATATTGCACGGATATTCATTACAAAGTCGTATTATTGTAGTACCTAACAGAATATTTTATGTACGAGCTTATAAATATGTGAACCGAAAACGAGTTTCCGTTTCATTATATTCTTTCGTTTTATTTGCAAGCGGTTGTAGTGAAGTTTAGGCGACACTTCTGTTCAGTTAAAAATATTAACCATATATGCGAGTGTTCCAGAAAAAACGTGAGGCTGAATTTTAAATTTCCACTTGGTTACGGTTTAAATTATAATAGCAAATTAAAATATTTACGGAAATAATAATATTCTATTAAAATATTTGTAAGCCTTCAACCATACATCTTTTTGGAACACAGGGTATGTACGTAGATCCTGGAAAGTTGAACTTTCATTGGAAATAATAATAATTATTTCCTTCCTACTTATGGGATCTTGTCATATCCTCATTTAAAATCTTGTATACTATCCATTCGGGATACATATCTTCGTACCAATTCTAAAATGAGCTATGTGCAGTCAAGTCTTAATTTTAAACTAAGCTATGTGCACAATGTATTCAGCTATGATCGCAGTATTTAACTAAATAAACTGGAGCACATAGCTCATTTTACAATTTTTAGCCCGACCCAGGGCTTATGTACCTGTCTGTATGTCTATCTGTCCGACTTAAGATAACTCTCTTCAAACTTATCCGATCGACTTGAAATTTAGCACATACTTAAAACATGCAAGATTAGGAATCAAGTTCGAAGCTGAGCCTGATCGGTCAACTGGTTGGCCGGTGGGGACCATATGAGTGGTGTGGGTTTATGGTACAAAATATTCTAAATGCCCCTAGAAGGCTGAAATTTGGCACAGAGGTTGCTAATGGGTTCTAATATGCGAATGTGACATAAAACACAAAAATTTTTCAACTGGAGGGGCCCTATAGGGTGACCCCTACCGATTTCTCAAAATTGTCCAACTGAAATTTGGTAAATACCTTGCTAATAGCTTCCAATAGAAGAATTTGAATAGAAATTGCCACAATTTTCACCACGAGCGATCCTAGCGGGTGACCCATACCGATTTTTCAAAATGCTTCAATTGAACTGACATTTGGCATGGGGGTTGATAATTACCTAACATTAAGTAAGATGAAGTTGGATTTCTAAACTTCACAACCATCCCTGGGTCGGGCTCCGCGAAGCTGTACTAATAGGTTTTTCTTGATGCATATAGCTCATTTTAGAATTAGCACGACGATATGTATTTCAACTAACCTGCCCATTCTCCAGCCACCGAGTCCACCCTGCTCTGACGTCCCACACCTAACCATGTATCGTCGTTTTCATATCGACCTAAAACACTAAGTGCGTACCTCTTCCATCCACACGGTCGCTTATAAGGGAACGATCCTCTCTCAAAGGTTATCGCGTTGTCGATTATTTTTGAAAAATCATAATCAAATCTAGTATCTCGCAAACCCTTTTGAAAGTAAACTATCGGACATGCACCACCACGGAGCCTCAATACCATATGAATCTCATCCTCGCGTTGAATATTGTAGTAGGATAATGTCCGAGACAACTCCAGTTGTTTGCCCGCGAAAATTAACCTTTGCTGATCTACAGGAAAACCTTCTGTGATGTACATTCTATTAATAATTTCTTCAATTGTTGTGGATGGTTCGCATGTAATTGTGATCATCTTTCCTGTTATGATTTTTACAAAAACCTGGTACGTATTTGCATCAATTTTTTGATTTGCATGGATATCGACTACTCGCGTGTTCTGAGCGGTAGGGATAGGATCAATCTTCGGGACTTCAAATGTTCTCGTCTTACCCAAAATTAGCTGCGTTTGATGTAGAGAATTTTGATCCAATTCACGAAACTCACCCGACTTAATTCTTCCGTCTTCGTTTTTCTCCTTCATCTTATCAAATTCTTCATACGATATGATTTCATACCACGTAGAAGCGGACATCGCAGCGGCAAGGAGATCGTTATCCGATTTTACTTGGCTAGCAAATTGAAATTTTATTCGTGAGAAAAAGTAAGCTATTAAATAATACTTGTATTAATAAGATCATATAAAATTAGTAACTTCGACATACCTTGAGGAAGACGAAGCTCCACCAAAGTATTGCGACATTATTCGATTTGATATGTTCGGCTTGTCTTAATTCTGACACACGTATGTACCAGTCAAGATACCAGGATAAATAGTTTAGTCAGGAGCCAAGGGAATTGAAGTAAATTGTCAGTTAATTCGCACGTATGCATGTTATCAGGGTGTATCTCATATTATTGTTATCACTAAATTGCGCAGTAAATTTTTATATGTTCAACTACCACCAAAACCATTAACCACCAATTATTTACTACCTACATACATATATCTATATACATACAGATACAAAATGAGCCAAAAGTGCAAGTCTTTTTCGCATCGATTTCACCAAATTGCACATAAAAAATTACAAATTCAGTTTTGGGTGGGGGGATTAATATAGCATAGCTGTTTTTGAATTATATTCAACCACACCCCCTTCAAAAATTGGGGAAGAAAATTGGGAAAAATGAGAAGGTCAATGTACACTCGGTACAGAAAGAAGTAGATACCAACTTGCATTTGACATTTGACTTCCCTCATGAATATGAACATTTTGATGCATCAAGACTTTCAAAATTCGAAAATTGGCGGTTTTTCGACCTACATATAAATCGTTAAAAAAGTGACCTTAGCGGTCATTTCGCGGCTGACAACCTGATGCCAGATTTTTCTTCGTCAGAAGTGCCACATTTTCCGCTTTTGTTGTCCGCTGCGAAATGACCGCTACCATGACTTTTTTGCAGTCAAAGTTTCTGAGGGAGGGGCTTATACGGCAGGAGCCGTAACAATGTATAGGTATTTATGATATACATAAAGGTAATTACATAGAAGCTATTAAAACAGCCTCAAATCGCCCCAAATTTAAAACTTAAGCTTTTCTGAATTTATAATGATGATATGCATTCGAAAATTAACGCTATGAGGCTTATCAACGAAGTTATCAATTTTTCAGATAAGCAAATTTAGTTTATCCAAATCGCCCCAAACTTAAAACTTAAGCTTTTCTGAATTTATAATGATGATATGCATTCGAAAATTAACGCTATCGGGCTTATCACTGCGCTTATCAGTTTTTAAGATAAGCAAATTTAGTTTGTCCAAATCTCCCCAAATTTAAAACTTAAGCTTATCTGAATATATAATGGTAGTATCCACTCGAAAATAAACGCTATCGGGCTTATCACTGCGCTTATCAGTTTTTAAGATAAGCAAATTTAGTTTGTCCAATTCGCCCCAAATTTAAAACTTAAGCTCAACGATTTATCAATTGAACCAACTCGTGTACAGTAGCTACAAAAGTTAGGCTATGGTATGAACGTGGTTTGTTCAGGTCCCTTTATTTTGTTCAAGTTAAGCTACCAAATACATATGTTACATGTATTTTGAAGGAAATTTATCAAGGAATCGAAATATGTTGGCCATTTTCCAAAATCTCTAAAACTGGCTGCACAATTTTCGGAGGGAGCGGGAAATCTGTGAATCCGAGGCAAAAAAAGTTAGCATATGGTTAAGGATTTTTGAATGTGGAGTTGAATTCTTAGATTTTCCTCCATTATATTTTCTTGGTAAGTTAATTTCCAACTATATATGCTGTAATACAACTACCAGCTAAACGAATAATTCATTTTGTGAAACTAAAATCAAGGTGAAAATGCGAGGAAACGAGTTATCGCTGGAGCAACGGGGGAAAATTATTTCCTTGCATCAGAAGGGTCTCGGATACATAAAAATCTTTCAGAATTCAAAATTCATGGTGCCAGCTACTCAAAGAATAATCCAGAAATGGATATCAACAGGATCTGTGGCAAATAAACGGCGAACCGGACGTAAGAGGAAGACGACTCCGCGGATTGATCGACAAATTTTAAAGAAAATAAATTCCAATCGATTTTTATCTGCACCAAAATTGTTGCAGAAATTCAAAGCCAACACGGGGTCTCCATTTCTAACCAAACAGTCCGAAATCTCATCAAAGAAAAAGGTTATAAGGGTGCAGTCGCGCGGAAGAAACCTTTCATCTCCAAGCGCAATAACTTAAGCGGCTTCAGTGGGCCAAAGATCACCCAGCGTGTACCACTGATGATTGAAAACTGTTCTATGGACTGATGAAAGCAAGTTCAACATGTTCGTGACCGACGGTGTGACCACAGTCTCATGTAAGGTCGGCGAAAGTCTTAAGCCCAACTGCCTAAGAAAAACCATCAAACACGGAGGTGGTTCTATTATGGTATGGGGGTCAATGAGTACAAATGGTGTAGGAAAATTGCATTTCATTGACGGCATTATGAACAAGGATGTCTACCAATCCATCCTACAGAAGAATTTACTTCCATCAGTCCGGAAATTAAGAATCAGAGGGACTGTTTCTTTCAATAGGACAACGATCCCAAAAGTACCGCCAAAACCACCAAGGAATGGTTCGCCAAAAATGAAATAAAAGTTCTTCCATGGGCTGCCCAGTCATCAGGTCTTAATCACACACAACATTTGTGGGCAGAATTATAGAGAAAAATTGCTAATCGGAATCCTAGCAACAAGTAACACTTAAAACGGATCCTGGCAGAAGCATGGGAATATCTTGACCCAGATTTTACCAAGAAATTAGTGGACTCCATGCCACGACGTATACAAGCAGTGATTGAAGCTATGGGAGGACCAACACGTTATTAGGTTATGATTTTACAAAATAGCAGATCAAAAACCACAACCATATGCTAACTTTTTTTGCATCCGATTCACAGATTTCCCGCTCCCTCCCAAAATTGTGCAGTCAGTTTTTGAGATTTTGGAAAATCGTTATCATATTCGGATTCCTTGATAAATTTCCTTCAAAATACATGTAATATATGTATTTGGTAGCTTAACTTGAACAAAATAAAGGGATCTGAACAAACCACGTTCATACCATAGCCTAACTTATTGTAGCTACTGTATATGTTGATATTAGACCACTAATTATTATTGTGATTATTGTGTCCCAAATGTATCTCTCCTCGACAGGATATCCTTCTTGTGATAATGTTTGTATCCTCACTCGTTTGTGTTCACGAGATTGGCTCACCTTTAGGTCATTGTGTACAAAAAATTAAGAAAAAAATAAACACAAAAGATATAAGCGAAAAAGTGGATGAAAACCGCGCGCGCGAGTGATGGGGATAAACATTTGGGACACAGTTTATCCTATACATTCCTTAAACTCATATCGTGCATAGTAAACTACTCGTGGATTTAATACATGTATAAGTACGAGGGCACTTCAAAAAATTATCCGGCTTGATTATGATTCTGCAATAAACTTGCTACGTACATATATACTCACCTCACGACTTTTCAATATAATCCCCTACGAGGTCAACACATTGGATCATGAATTGATTTTAAAGGCTCTATCCCAACTTTATAAAAGCTTGAATCGTGCTGGTCGTAATTTTTTTACAGTTGTGCAAGGACAGATCCATATGAGTTTGTCATTCGAGCACGAATATAAATGTGAAGCAAAATGCCCCACTTGTACATATGTATGTTAGGCCAGCTAATATTTGAACTACCCTCTGTATTGTATTTACGATATGGTCCAGACCAGTCATCAAGTATAGAGTAAGCATATTCACAATATTGCTGCTTATTAATACAAATACATATGTAGGTACATACCCATACATATGTACATATGCCCTATTTCCTTGTAATGATACGGCTTATTGTTAGATATTCATCTGGTGACAGGATCGACTAGGTACAATTTCTGTGCAGAAAGTTCGTCACCACGTAGATCAGGACAATTCCCTATACATACTCCAACAATTATCTCTTCCCGTATCATGCCGAACTTTCTACACTTAAATTACACATGGTTGATATCACCTGCTAACTTTTACACCGTATCGTTAAACGGAAATGGGATGTGTCTAGCCTGAATAATAGATAGAAGACATTGGGTTGATTGGACCTGACAAGGTTCAGCCGACGCAAATGAACATGTTCTGGTACGAACACTGTACTCCTTCAGTTTTCTATATGTAATTTCACCCGAATTATGGCAAATATTAAATTACTAAATAGTCGCCCGCCTTAATTTTTGATCGTTTCATGGTAAAACCGGGGTAACAATAAGTTTATTCCGACTTGTATTTTGACCTTGTGAGGAAATGTTGTCAGAAATCCTGCTCTCATTTTTAAAACAAACTTTCTCCCATGCCGACCACTTTTCCTGGTTGGGATTTACCTTTGACAAAAATAAGAAATTAGTTACGCGCCGAAGAGATCGGGCCGCCTTATTGGACCGCCTCAGTTCCGCGGCATATCTGTTCTACGTCGCTACCCAAACGTATGGAATTCTGTGGCATAACAAAACTTCGAGCAGGGTACAGAAGCTGAATTCTGCCTTGTCTCCCATATCTCGTCATGTTTCTAATCACCTTGTTGTCTCAAACTGATCCAGGAATTCCACTCGTACTGAATGTTATCACGAAACCATCGCAAAGTACAAGAGGTGGGAATTTAACATGTTTTTTTTTAACACAAATTAACTATTTCCAATAATTTCGCCAGGTTCGTCAAACATGATTTTAAAGATAACTCGCCTACTCTTCTCCACCTTGAGAATCGGACACGTCGCATTTCCCACCGTTGTTGCTACACTAGTGTATTTCATTCCATGCCAAGAACCATTCCTGGGTTCAATACTACTCTCCCGGATGGCCTGCCAGGATTCCTCCACAGCTGTGCGCATAGGCTTGACCACTGTTGAATTCGCCGTGCTACACTACGCCTCCCTCGCTTCGGGCGTGTACGTATCGGGTCTCTTATTTGGAGGGATGATACACTTGTGGTTCGCGTTGGGTGACATTTTTGACCGAGGTGGCGAGCTCCAAGTGTTTGCGAGGTGGTTTAACTCCTGTATTCAAGACGGAATTTTGCCCGTGATTATCTCTGTTTTTCCAGCGATTCAAATCTTGGGGGGATTTTCATGTATCCGCCTTCGCGGTGGTATGAACCCGATGGAATTTGCTTTCTTCGCAATGGAAACTCTGGTCGTTATTGGGTACAATTTGGTTTTCGTGACAGGAGCAGGAAAAATATATGGGGGGAGTGTGAAATGGTTGAGGGTTTGTAAAGGGGAAGAAAATATGCGTGTAAATAGAAAAATATTAGCTTCCATGACACCATTGAAGGTTAGGTTTGGTCAAAATTTTGTGGATGAACTCACTCCATTGAAGCTACAGGAGTTTTGTACCATCCAAACGTTGAATTTTTTATTGTTGTTTTAAATTTATTGAGGTGATTGGACTTTTTC